CGAGTCCCTGGGGCCATGCACGTCTGCCTCTCCTCAGTAAAATACAAGCCCTATTAAGAAAGAGACTTTATCTTGTGTATAGCTACAATAGTACCAGGTGCATAGAAAGGCAATCAAAAAACATTTGTTCACGCCTGTAATCTCAGCACTTTGGGAGGCTGAGGTGGGCGGATCACAAGATGAAGAGATCGAGACCATGGTGAAACCCTGTCTCTACTAAAAAATATGGAAATTAGCTGGGCGTGGTGGCGTGCACCTGTGGTCCCAGCTACTCAGGAGGCTGAGGCAGGAGAGTTGCTTGAACCTGGGAGATGGAGGTTGCAGTGAGCCGAGATCCTGCCACTGCACTCCAGCCTGGCCCAAAACTGAGACTCCAAAAAAAAAAAAAAAAAAAAAAAAAAAAAAAAAAAACCATTTGTTGAGTGAATGGGAGAATAGCAGAATGAGTAATGATAAAGTCGTCATTCGAAAGTAACAAATGCAGAGAGAAAGACCATCTTTACTGGAAATGCAATCTCGGTAGCGACCTGGAGCTGATGGGGAGGGGTTGACTAATTTACTGCAGTGTTGCAGCTGAGCACAGAAGGCACAGAGGGAGGGAGGGCAGCCGCTGATGTGGCTCCAACTCTTAAAGGTTCTTTTCTTGGTTTTACATACACACCCATGTTGGTCCTGTGCTGCCCACAGCTTCATTTACGGAATTACCACCACCAAGTTGACACATGCTATCTCTTAAATTACTCTTTGGTATCAGAAGCCAAGTTTCACATTCATTTTTGTCAGAGAAAGAGATTGGGATTCTTTGGGAGACAATTGCCCTTCATGCCAAGGAAAATCTTTCTCATTCTGTTTTGTTTATCTCAAACCAGCATCACAGTGTGCCCTGGATGGGTTTTGGCAACAGGAGTGACAATGAACTCATTTCCACGGTGATAAGGTCAAAGCTGTTCATGCTTAGAGCATCACAATCAATTTCTGAAATGCTTCTAAATTAGAAAAGTGAAAAAACTTGTTAAATGAAGGAAAAGTGTGCGATGAGCTAAATGCTGGGAGAATGACTAACAGACATATGAAATACTCATCAGGCACTTGACCGCATGCACCTCGGGAGGGTTTCTTATTGGAAGACACTTCCCTGGAGATGAAGTCAGTGTTCTGGTCGCCTTCATCTCACAATTACCAACCTTGGAATAGATATTATTGACTTGTGAAATGGACAAAATTTGTTTTCAAAATGTCAATAAGAACTATTAAGTAAGCAAAACAAATCTTTAGTGGTCTCTGTCATGGTCCATTAGTGGAATTACTTTTCTCCACCAATGTAATCATCTGTGTTTCAGGCTCTCAGGAACTGAAAAAATTACGTATAATGGAGAAATTATACCCATTTTGTCATTAAGTGTTTCTACTAGTCAAGTAGTCTATTGCAGTAGCGTTAAAGCAATTATCTTAATGATTAGCTTGACACAGTCTCAACCTCTGACATTTTTCACTCTTGACTACTTTTTCCTTAGCATTCTCTTTAGCGCCATCCTTCCCCATTTCCATGCTGCTCTCTTCCTGCTCCCTGTGGGCTTTTTAGGACGTTTCTTTCTTTGATCACCTCCTGAACATCGATCGTCCCCAGTCAATCCATTCTCCTCTCATACTTGATGTTTTTATTTTTTTTTAACCTCATCTGATCACATAGCTTCCAATTTCACTTAAGTATAGGCTTTCAGTCAAACTTCTCAATAACGTTTGTAGCCACATCTAAAACTGGACTCATGACCACACAGCAGCCCCCCAGGTTCCTCACACTCCACTCACCCTCAGCTCCTCTGTCCCCATCACCAACTCTAGGTGCTCCCTTGATGTCCATACAGGGATGGGTGTGATTCACTTTCTAATGATAAGTGTGGGAACCTTTCTGCATCCCGCGCTCTCACTCACCACCGCTCTCTGGATCCAGCCACCAACCCAGCAACCTACAATTCCTTGGGATCTTTCCTTCCTACACATCGTATTCCAGCTGGAACCACTGTAAGCTCATGCCTGGTCTCCCTAAGCTCAGAAGGCACTCAGCTCCCAGCTGGGAGGAGTGGGCCCCCATCACCAAGTCTCCTCAAGCCTCTTCATTGAGATGAGATTTTATATGGCTCTAAATTCATTATATTTAAATTACAGAGAATGTATCAGGATGAAATACAATTTATGCTAATAAATATTTCTTCTATATAAAAAATGTAAAGAATTTGGGAATTAAAAACCATGAATCCTGGCCAACATGGTGAAACCCCGTCTCTACTAAAAAAAAATACAAAAATTAGCTGGGCGTGGTGGCATGCGCCTGTAGTCCCAGCTACTCGGGGGGCTGAGGCAGGAGAATTGCTTGGACCCAGGAGGCGGAGGTTGCAGTGAGCCAAGATCGCGCCACTGCATTCCTGCCTGGTGCCTGGCGACAGAGCGAGACTCTGTCTCAAAAAAAAAAAAAAAAAAAAAATGGAAGTGAAAGATATGAATCCTGACCTCTGGAAGGAGGAGTGGGTGAGAAACCAAGGTAACAGTGACCCGGGACCGGATTTTACCTCCTCCATTTGTTTGACTGCAGCAAGTTACTTTAGTTTTTGTTTCTTTGTAAAATGAAGACGAACCCTTCAGTCAAAGGTACATTTTGACAGTTAAATTATAATATGCATATAAAGCTTACATCCCCCAAACTTGCACATGGTTGATTATCATCAAATCATAATTACTATTACTTAGAAGCACAAGACTTTTATACTGTAAAGTAAAATATCAGTAATACTTTAAAATAACAGTTTAAGGAAACAGTAATAGAAACTCCATGAAGAATCCACCCCGTCTGCCAAGGAACAGTGCTGACAGCCATTCCTCAAGGAACCCAGATTGTCTGGAGCGGAAATTACAGACAGGAAACCCCTACCTAGACACAGCAGCACCAAATGTTCTCTGACTCCTCAGCTCCTGAGAAAGAAGATTTTGCTGCACAAAGCAAAAAAGGAAAAAAGTGAGAAAAGTTTATAGACTTTTATGATCTTTCAGTAAGGTTAGCCTAAGACTCACCTCTCACCTATGCCCAGGGACTTCCAGGTTTGAAAGCATTTCCACCACTACTGATGATCTAAGAGAGATACTGGGGAAAATATAGCTGCATAATCCTTCCCTGAAGGTGCCGCTCCCTGACCTCCAGGCTCTCCTGGGTGTGGACTAGTTGGGGGAGATGATTAGAAACTACCATTTGTGTCTATTGCACGCAACGATAAGAGATAAACTTGGCTGGGACTATTAGAGGTCATTTATTTAGTTCAACATTTCATGTACCAAAAAGAAAACCCAAGTCCAGTGTGGCTGAGTTGGAAAAGTCACCAAGCTACTGGAAGCAGAGCCAGGCCTAGAGTTCCGAGTCCAAAACTTCTTTTCTCCCCCACCACAGCTGCTGCTTTACAGTACTGGGGTTTTGGAATTTTACTCATTCAAATGCAAATGTTTTGTGTGCTTCTTTAATGGGACATTTTTTGTCTGACTTTACTAAGTAGGGTTTGCTGTGCTGAATGAATGAGTGGATTGGAGGTGTTGAAATCGTCAACCTCTTTTAAAGGATCGTTATTTTTCCTTTGTTTCTCTTTGTGATGGGAAACACTACTTCTTTTTTCCTCCCAGCTTGAATTGGAGACAGCAGCACAGATAACTTCACTTTCTCCTTCTCGTGGGTGATGCAAGTAGTGGGGATGAGATTAACGAAATCAATGGCTCATGGGAAAGCCTTCCCATTTTCAGTCTCACCCCTACTTCAGAATATGGTCCAGTGAATCCATTGCTATGAAACAGTGCCGCAGCTGGGCTCAGTGGGGGTCTGGGTGGTCTCACAAAAGCTAGCGATAGCTGTAACTTTGAGAAGCCAGAGGTGTTGCAAGCCGTCCAATTTCATACCACTGGGATAAATCATGATTAACATGTGACTCATACAGTCTGCCGTTGACCCGCTCGTCCATTAGTTATTGAAGTCATGCTATATTCCAGGTACTGCGTTAGGTTCTGGGGATTCAGCGTGCTTGCTCCATAGTCCACATGGACAAATCAGTGAGTGATGATGATGGGATGTGGTGGACACTGTGATGGGGAAAGATGAAGTGAGAATAGTCGCACACCAGAGTGGCGTCTAACCCGTCTTCCGAGGTCAGGGAAGGCTTTTTGGAAGAGATGATATTTAAGCAGAAACCGGAAGAATAAAATAGGTGGCACAGGTGAAAAGGTGGAATAGAGGATGCTCCTGGCAGAAGAAGCTGTATTGTATATCAAAGGCTCAGAGGCATCGGAGAACCCACAGAATGCAGGGAAGTGTACAGTGCGCCGAGAGCACAGGTACAGGCACAGGATCGGGAGGAGGGGGTGTGCATGGAGGGGGCGGAAACCCATCCAAGGGCCCCAAGGCCCTACACAGCCTCTCCTTGTTTGCCACCGGAATTTGCGTGTGACCATGGCACCGCCAGGGACGCCTTGTGCACCTCGATCCCCATGCACTAGCCTCATGGCCTTTGGGGGTTGTGGTGTGCAGAATGGAGATAACATGGGTGGTACGTGTGAGGTCAGAGAACGGGGTACACATGTGACCACTCAGAAAGGGGCTCTTGGGTGGTGGAGGGAGTGCAGTTCTCTGCAGCATCTTTGGGCAAGGACAAGATGGCAACAGAGGAATAGCTGCAACTAATAGCAAAACAAAGATTTCAACTAGCAATAGCTTAAACAAGGAAGAAGTTTCTTTTCCTTGTGTGTGAAGCAGCCTGCATACAGGCAGCCTGGGCCCTTTGTGGCAGCCACACAGTGTCCTCTGAAAGGGTGACTCACCTCCCAGATTTCTAAAGCCTCGTTGTCCGCACGTGGCTTCTACCCCGGGGCTGCATAGACTTCAGCCACCCCATGTGCATTCTAGCATGGAGCTGGGCTGGACAGGTAGCAGCCCTTTCCTTAGGGCTAATGCATTTCCTGTTTCTCTCCAGGTCAGTCAGGATCTTTGATTTCGGAGCACAAGGCTTCTGTGGGCTACTGGCTGGGTCCCAGCCTCCCTCCACGGCTCTGTCGTGGATGGGAATTTCCACCACTGCCTCCATTAGGTAACTACAGTGCCTAGCAATCACTTGCTATTGTTTCTACTGCTGCTCTTTGTCTTTTAAAAAAGTATTCTTTATTTTTAACATTTTATTTTTAAATCATTTTAGACAACAAAAAGTTACAAAAATAGTGCAAAAAATATACCCTTTATATACCTTCCCAAAATGTCACTATCCTGAATAATTGCAGTGTAATCATCAAAGCAAGGAACTCAAATTGACAGAATACCATAAGTACATCCATACACCTTATTCAGATTGCCATGCCCCACTGATGTCCTTTTTCCCGGTTCAGGGTCCAGGTCAGGACCATGGTGGCATTTAGTTGTCATGTCTCAGTCTCTCCCACCATGACTGTTGTGCCTCCTAAATGCGTCATATCAGAATGTATGATCTCCTCTGTTTCTCGAGTCTAGTAACTTTGGTGTGTTGGTTAAGGTAGTATATGGCAGGTTTCTCCACCAGAACATTTACCATTTTTCTTTGGCAATTATTAAGTGTCTTATAGAGAGCTACATTGAAACTAAGCAAATGTCCTGTTTCTCGAGATAGTCCCCCCACCCTGCCCCCATTGGTTTTAACACCTATTAATGACCTTTGCCTGCAACAGATGCTACTCTGGTTTGTCAAATGGTGATTTTCGTTTTGGTCTTTTGAAGTGTCATCATGGGCACACAATCTACAGCTGGGTTCGAGAATGTCCGGCAGTTAACTTGTCAGCCCGCTATCCCGTGTGGTTGGTCCCTGGTCCTTCAAGGCCAGCTGTGCTGACACGGACCCCTCCAAGCCTTCTCTGCGAAAGCCAGGCCCAGCCAGGCCATAGCGCTGTTCCAGGCTCCACTTTCCTCTTATTCTCCACCTGCTGCTTCTGCTCTTCCTTCTCTTCTGGATCCAGACTCTGGGGGTTATTCCTGGAGTGCATCTGGATCTGAGGTTGGGCTTTGCATCTTTCTGGCTCAGCACCCCATTGTCTCTCCTCTTGGGTTTGTTAAACCTGACCTCCACCTTCCTCCTCCCGTAACACGGTTCTCTGGAGTGTATCACAGCCTTCATCCTGCAGGTCGTTCGCGGAGGTCCAGCTCTTCAAATCTCTGTGCGTTTGTGGAGGTGTTCTCTAACATTTTTTTTTTTTTTTTAAGACGGGGTTTCACCATGTTGGTCAGGCTGGTCTTGAACTCCTGACCTCAGGTGATCTGCCCGCATTGGCCTCCAAAGTTCTCTAACACTTTTTCTTTGGAAGGCTAAGAGCCAATGCTGAACAAATTCTTCATGTACTTGGGAATTTTTGTTCAGAGTCAAATTGAATAAGGGATCAATTTGTCATTAAAAAATAAACGATTCTCACCCCTGGGGCAAGTTCCACAGAGGAGCAGGTCAAAATCCCCTTGGAGAACTGCGCATGCTATTTTTATGCTCATCATAAGTATTCACAGGCCAGAGAGGCTGAGAAACTAAGAACAAAGTAGGCTACTTTCAATATCTAGATGTGAGTATAATTGAGAGACAGGATTGGGGCGAAGGAGTCAAGTGAGTCTCGGCAGCTCCAGCATAAAACAGGGGGAACGTGATAATAACAAAGAGACCTTTTCCTGAGTCCTTACTGCGCGCCAAGCACTCTTCAAACACAAACTCATTTAACCTCCACGCTAACCTAGGGCAGTAGGTACACTTGCTGTTCTCATTTTAGAGCTGTTAGTTCAGAGCGACGAGGTAACCAAAGGGCACTCAGGCAGGTACTTGGGGAGTGGATACTGCAGCCCAAAGGGTCTGACTCCAGCACTCACAACCTGATCACTGCCCTCCATGCCTGGCCAGGTGGCAGACCAGAAGGAGGTTTCTCCTGGTCTCAGGCTGCCAGCCTAGGTTCTACCATGTGGAGAAAGCCAGTGTCGGGCCTCCTCAGTCAGTATCACTGGACGAGAATTGATGCCAGCCCCCCGCTGTGATCCCTGCCGTGATCCCTGCCGTGATCCCCGCCGTGATCCCCACCGTGATCCAGGCGGTCAGTGGTTTGCAAGGGTGCCTGCTGCGCCAGTGCCTGTCATGGAACATGCTTCCCATTGGGAACGTCCCTGTGGACACTGCTTGGCCACTATGGTGCCCTCTGGCTTCCTGGCCACAAGAGGAACAGACCGTGGCCTCCTTGGTGATGGTGGGTCTTAGTTTGGCTATGGCATCACTGCTGACTTGCCCTCATCTCACCTAAGCAATAAGATCACATGTGGGATCCCAGTCCCTACCATACAGAAAGGGAAGCACGTGACGTGACTCGTGAACAGAGGGAGAAGGAATTGTGCTCAGCTGGCGAAGGCAAAGGAAGAACAAATAGAGGCTGCAGCCACCAAGAAGAATAGAAGAGGAAGGACCAAGGATGGTAACTGGTTAATAAGCACTGAGATGGCCTTGTGTCTTGTTAAAATATTGAGATGTTTCCAACTGCTTGGTAAATGGCCACCACTCCAAACCTACTCCCTTCCCAGTGCCCTGTCACCCTGTCACTCTTTTCCCCTTCCAGCAACTACAGGGTTAATGTATGTTTAATTTAGAATGGTTAGGTCCTAACCACTTGAATGTTTTAAGTATTGCCCCAGAAGAGAACTAATACTGAACATGTGGCAAAAGTACAGACCTTCTCTACGTTTCAGTGCCTTTCTCCAGAGCGTGATGTCCATGGCACACAATCCCTCTTCCCGTGGAAATGCTCTTCCCCTTGGCAGCTTTTAGCCTGCAACGTTGATGCTGAAGACGCTGCCTTCACTCCCCTTCCTTGGAAAAAGCCCAGCAGAGAGGACTTCCAGCCAACCTCCCCTTAGCCATTCAGCATGGCCTTGCTGCCCAGAAGTTCACCCTCTTGGCATGAGAGGCACTGGAGGGCTAGGCCGTGGGCTACACCATCCCAGCACGCACCGGAGGTGGAAGGAGGACCCTCATGCACTCTGCAGCCCTGCTGGACTTCTGTGAAATTCATGGCTCGGGTAGCAAAGAAACCCAGTTCAGCCACCAAACTATTATAAAAGGCGGTTACAGTCAAGGTATAAGATGTGATAATTTGTTACACATACTCATTGTGTAATAATTTTCACATTAACGCTTCCATTGCCCCCAGCAGCTATTGTGTGTGTCTGTGTGTGTGTGTGTGGGGGGGGGGGCGTTCAGGACATGAACAGTCTATCAGATTGAAAACCAAGAACAACACTTCTCCAGCGTTCCTTCCTGCAGCCCCCTTTCCTTCACTTCAGAGCTGTTCTCCTCTAGCAAAGCCCAGCACCTGCCTTTCAGCCCACTCCTGCCCTCTCATTCGGATGCTGTATTTTGTAGACAAACAGCTCATGCGCCCTTCCCACCATGCTTCCCTCCTCTCTGGCCTCGTTTCTTCTCGTGCCTCCCTTTTATGATGATTAATCATCAGAAGAGATCCATCAGTCGTGGGGTGGAGGAAGTGGATGAAAATGAAGAAATCTCTCTCTCCCCCCATCTCTCTCTCTCCCCCCTCCCTCTCTCCCTGTCTCTCCCTCCCTCTCTCTCTCTCTCTCTCTCTTGCACACACTCACATAAAACCTTGTTCTGTTGGGTGCTGGAGCAAACGATATACCTGTGGAACCTGTCCTTGTGGGTACCACCCTGTGACATCATTTTGTTCTGGGAAGATTCAAGAAGTGAAAAATCAACTTTGAAAGATCGGTTATTATACATTTCAGAAGCGTGGGGTTGATTGTTCTCAACTGTAATTCCTAGACAGTGAGGGTGACCTGGGGTTCCCAGGAGGGGCAGGCCCTACGGGAGGGCACACGGCTGCTGTAGTTTGGTCAGTCCTGTAAGGAACACAAATTAACTTCAGTGTTACTTAGAGAATTTGGCATTCCGGAAATAGTCTTTGAGCCTCAGACGAAGTCTACACGTTTTTGCACCTGTGCCTCAGCTGGGTGCCTTGCAGCCCTGGTTTCTGTGAGAGCTGGAACCGGCTCAGCTTTCTTTCCTGCCCATGCTTCTGCTTCATGCTCTCAGACTCTTCTTACAGAACAGTGTTTTAAACTGTCAAATAAAATTGTAGGAAAAAAGTCACCCATAACTCAAACTCACAAAGTAATTACTTTACATGTTAGTCTATTATTTTCATGTCTGTAACCATATGAATAATGATAGTCATGGCCTTAAATTTTTCTTTCAAATATTTCCATATTATTACATAATATAATTTTATACTTTTAAATTACTATTTTAATAGCTAAATATCCCATTTAGCTACTATGTCCTAATTTTCTTAACCATTTCCTTATTGTTAGATACTTGATTATTATTTTACAGTTACAGATCATGTTACAATCAATATTTCCATGGACTTCGCTTTTTTTCCTTTCCACTGTTTTCTTTTTGAGATGGAGTCTTGCTCTGTTGCCCAGGCTGGAGTGCAATGGTGCGATCTTGGCTTGCTGCAAACTTTGCCTCCCGGGTTCAAGCAATTCTCATGCCTCAGCCTCCTGAGTAGCTGGGATTACAGGTATGTGCCACCACATCCAGCGAATTTTTGTATTTTTAGTAGAGATGGGGTTTTCACCATGTTGGCCAGGCTGGTCTCGAACTCCTGACCTCAGGTGATCCACCCGCCTTGACCTTCCAAACTGCTGGGATTACAGGCCTCTCCACAGTTTTCTTAGAATAAATCCTTGGAGTTAGAATGGTCTAGGTAATGTGAACATTTGTATAGCCTTTTAACTTTCCATGAGGGCTGTATTTGTTTATACGACTTGCCTCATTATATGTCTGCATTCAACTTGCATGTCTTACCCAATCTTCTTTTGTAATTTTTATATTATACTTCCTTTTACTTAGAACAACTGTATATTTTTATGTAATTGTATCTGTTATTTTTCTCTTCTTTCTTATGTTGCTTTAACTCTTAGAATGTTATCAACACTTTAAAGTTCTGCCTTTTTGCAGACCCATCTCTAATTTCCTTAATAACTTGTTCTTTGATATATATGGAAACCTTTGAATACGGTTGT